ACTATGGCTCCAGATCCGCCATGGCCTCCCGAGTCCCCGGATCCGCCGTGGCCTCCTGAGTCCCCTGCTCCGCCGTGGCCTCGTGAGTCCCCTGATCCGCCGTGGCCTCCTGAGTCCCCTGATCCGCCGTGGCAACCTGAACTGCCTGATCCGCCGTGGTCCCCTGAGCTCCCTGATCCGCCGTGGTCCCCTGGGCTCCCTGATCCACCGTGGTCCCCTGAGTCCCCTGATCCGCCGTGGCCTCATAAGTCCCCTGATCCGCCGTGGCCTCATAAGTCCCCTGATCCGCCATGGCAACCTGAACTGCCTGATCCGCCGTAGTCCCCAGAGCTCCCTGATCCACCCTGGAGGCTCTCCTTGTCTCCGCCCTGTTCCTGTCCTGCACCAGCCTCCAGGGCGCCCGCCCCCACTACCCGATGTTACCCTTCCGGGAGGGGGGCGATATCTGTCACGTGTTTGTTTCTGTTTAGTTCCTGTCTGCCCTTATTTGGTTCAGTGCCTGTTCTCATTTAGTTAATCATCATTCATTAGTTTCCACCTGTGTTGAATTAATCATCTTATTAGTCCATTGTTTGGTTTTGTATAAATAGCCCTGCCTTTCCTCAGTTTCTTTGTCCTGTCTCCGTCATGTAAAGAGGTTGTTTTCTCCTGGTTTTTCCCAAGTGGATTTATTAAAAGACTGTTTATTTGATATCTGCCTCCTTCGTACTCCTTCAAGCTCCTTCGCCTGGCAACCCGTGACACATATGTAGATCAAGGAAATCTTTTTTTTTTTTTTCCCAGGGGGCCCCAAACCCCCCAGGAAAACTTAGTTATTAGACATTGGTATTTCTAAAACCCTGCATGTCCATGATTTTATAATAATAATAACAAACATTATTTTCTATAGCGCCTTTAAAAGTTACATCTCAAAGTGGTTTGCAAGAAGAAGATCAAATAAAAGAGAAATACAAACATATAAAAGAAATGCATTCATCAAAAAGTGCATTCAAATACACAATACAAATAAAGCATGCTATCAAAACAAATTAAGAAATAATTAAACCATAAAACAATCACAAAATAATCAAATAAAAGCTACCCTTAAAAGGTAAGTTTTAAGATTTAAAAACCCTAAGAGTTCAGAGACTTCAATCGTTTTGGAGCTAATGAAGAGAAAGCCCTATCACCCATAGATCTTAAACAAGTTTTATTTATTTGAAACATTATTTGATTATTTAATTGTTTTTTTATTTATTTTTTATTTAGCAAGGACACATTACATTAATATAAAATGACAATAAAGACATTTTACATTTTTACTAAAGATTATAATTCAAATAAATGCTGTTTAAACTTTCCGTTCATCAAAATATCCTCACGAAGACACTGTAGTTTTTCACAGATCATTAAGCAGAATAATAATTTTCAACTGTGATATTAATAACACATTTTAGAGTACCAAATCAACAACTACATTAAAAAAAAAAGCTTGTAGACAAACTTTAAGTTGGCTTGAAAAAGCCTAGATTGAAAGTTTGAAGTAGTTTTAAAAGCTTGAAGTTTGAAGGTTTTCAGTTTGAAACAGTACTAAAAGGTTTTAATGATATAGATAGATAGATAGATAGATAGATAGATAGATAGATACCTTGTATTAAAGCAATAGTTTGGATGATGGTTATGATCTTTACGGTCTCGATTCTTCATGAGCTGGATGAAGGTTGTGTTCAGTTCAGTACTGCTGTGCTTCACTCTCTGCATCACAGAGAGGAAGTGAAACATCTTGTAGTCTGCATGTTGTTGTTTTTTCCTGAAACCACACATTCCATATAAACCATTACAAAAAGGTTTTTATTTTATTTTATTTTTTTCAAGTGTGCTGTTAGTATACTTATTTTAAACAAAATAAGAGTGTATGTCCTCAGGACAACATTAATTTTCATAATCGTCCGCAAATGTTTCCGTCACAATTATTAATAACTTAACAGCTTTGTGTAACTGGCCTGGATGCGAGAGTGTATAAAAATGTAACTAAATAAAACTCAAGTATCGCGTTCACGGGCCTCAGCTCCACGCGTGTGTTTACATTCTCTTGCAGCGCACGTGGCAGCACAAGCGCTCTCTCCCATTGGCCAGTCCGTGTTTGAGCTCCACACAGCCGGGAAATACACACTATAAAGTGTAAAGGAAAGCCTAATATGAAAGAAACGTAAACAAAAATGATGGTTTAAAGTACGCTCAAAGAATAATAAATGCATATTTTCTTCATTTTTCTCAGTCCGAGTGATAAAAATCAGTGGCTAGAAATCGAAAGTCTAAACTTTTCTTTCTAATGGATGTTTCAAATATTGAAACTAAATATTCATAGATATTTAATTACAGCTAAGATTGCGCAAATAAGTGTCTTGTTCTTGTGACAAACGACCTAAAATAACAAAAGTAATCAAACAGGAAAACCAGAGCACATAAGTGCGCGGGGATCACACGCACGGAGCGCATGCGCACCCACAAGCCGCTCAACAACTACTTGGCGCCGGCGCGAGAGTCACAGCCAACTTGCTCCGGTAAGAAGTGCAATGTCATTTTTACGCACTTGTTATTTTTATTTAATGCATTTATATAATGCATTTATTTTGTGGTTGTGCAGCAGCTGTCGAATGTACCGACTTTAGTACTTATTGTTTTATTTATATAATTGCATTTAGAATTGCACTTCATCTTTGTTCAGTTCTAACATAATTAATTACACCACCTGAATGTATTGATTTGCTGTGAGCTTTACATGGTATTTAGCTACATTACGTCTCGTACTGTGCATGGCATGCACATCTTGTTTGTTGCATATAAGTTACCAATGGGCAATGCTAACAAGCTAAAGTTGTGGAGGGACAGTATTGAAATGGGAAATAACCTCCCATAAATATGAACATGGCTTTGCCATTCAGAATTATAAACTTATGTGTCATGCATTTATAATTCATTAAATGTTTACTTAATTCGCGCGTCCAGTAAGTTATAGCCAGAGAGTAATTTGGCGCGCGACAGTATTGATAAGTTAGATAAAATGCAGCTGAATCACACAACTGCGATTAAATTTGTATGGTTATCAGTAAAGTGACTATATTCGACCTGAGCGTAATGCAACTTATTTTTTATTGTCAATCACTATTTGCTGTTTAATAATGCCGCTTAAATACTGTAATATTTGCATGATAGGCCAACTGCTGCTGAAGAAGGCAAAATCCACAAGAACTTACATCTTACTTGCATGCCGAAGGTCATGGCCAGAAGAAGGTAAGAACAGTGTTATTACTGTGATTTCAGTGTAATTAAAGTTGAGTTTGGTGAAGACTTCCATTGCCTTTTATTGTTTTTATACTGAGATCATAATATTTTCTATACCCAAGACGTGAACCTAACCCTAACACAAACCATTCATATCATCATTTTCATTACGATATTATTGTGTATGTTTATTAAGCTATTATGACCATTGGCTACTTCCCAAAATACTGGTAATTTCAGGGTTTTCCATGCTTGTTGGAACATTTGATAGCATAACATAACCTGAGCAACTTTCTTCTCTCCCTGTGTCTATTAGTGGATGCCAGCAAGCGAGATCTGTCAATGGAAACACACGTAAGATAGCAAGAGTAAAGAAAGAGGTATGTTTAGTTTGTATTTGGTCAGTGTGTATGCGTTACTGTTTGTGCATGTACATATATCAGCTGTAATGTATGATTTTTTGTTTTGTATTGTTTTGCAGTGCAACAAGAGGAGAAAATCAATAAAAAAGTTGAATGACTCTCAGGTATTTCACATAAACAAAGTACATATACAGTGGCTTATTAAGACCACTTAAATACACAGCTTCACGCTCTTGAGTGAATACAGCTGTCAACGCCTTTCTAATTTGCACAGCAAAGCCTATAGCACACAAATGGCTTGAAATCTAAATTACTGCGGTACAGTTTGCCACTTAAGCACAAATTAACAGGTAGCAAAAAGTCCATGTTTCATCTTTATATGTTGATATTTATGTAAATGTGTTGTCTGTTCAGAATGTATGGAGGCAGAATGGTCTGAACAGCGTGAATGAAGTTGTGTCTGACTCGTCTGATCAAACTCCAGATGCACAGCCATCTCCACTCCCAACACTCAGGTGTGTTCCTGTAGTGAAATTACATTGTGACCACATTATGTGACATTCATTACAGAACAACAACAAACTGACAGAGAGGCAGTATTAAAGTGAAGTGCAATGGCATCTTACGCACAGAAGCCATCGGCACATGCCGCTATTTTAGTGGCACATCTGATTTTCAGTGCATGTGCCACTAAAACTTGTGTGACGCAAAAGTTTGCGCCTCCTCTAGTAGTGACTGACACATGAGGAGTCAGCAGCTATACTGATGTAATTGAGACACAACATGAAAGATTTTAGTAGCTGTGATTAAAAAAGAAATGCTTGAAATGTCATTAGGAAATTAAGTAGGACATAAGTAATAGTTTTGTGTACTAACTTATTTTACACTGTAGAAAAAAGGACGAACCTAAATACCCTAAATGTAGTCATACTTTTAGATAAATGTGACCCTGGACCACAAAACCAGTCATAAGGGTCCACTTCTCGAAATTGAGATTTATACATCATCTGAAGCTGAATAAATAATCTTTCCATTGAAGTATGGTTTGTTAGGATAGGACAATATTTGTCTGAGATACAGCTATTTGAAAATCTGGAATCTGAGGGTGCAAAAAAATCGAAATATTGAGAAAATCGCCTTTAAAGTTGTCCAAATGAAGTTCTTAGCAATGCATATTACTAGGCAAAAATTAAGTTTTGATATATTTACGGTAGGAAATTTACAAAATATCTTCATGGAACATGATCTTTACTTATTTGACCCATACAATGTCTTTTTTGGCAATTGCTACAAATATACCCCAGCGACTTAAGACTGCTTTTGTGCTCCAGGGTCACAAATGTCAATTAAATATATTTATAATGTTTGTAATTTATATGTATAATTTATATGTTTGTCAAAAATGTTTTTGAGTGGCACGTGGAACTAAATGTTTATACGTATAATGCAACAGTATAATTATATGTTATTGATTATGCAAATGGCCCGTGCTAAGAAACATTAAATTTATCTTGGGTCACTACAAATACAGTGCCATAACAGTAGCATCCATAACTGTAAAACTTTATTTTTGCGTAATGCAGCATGCATGTCTGTACTGTAGGTGTCAGTGTAAGTTAGTTTATAAGTAGCTTATAGCCCAAAGTATAAGTTAGTTGACCTGACAAGATAAACAAAAACAAACGGCTTCTGTGCGTAAGATGCCATGTCAGTCCAGCAGCAGTTATTAGCATTAAGTGGCAAGAGTCACCATCATCTCGATGCCACTGAACTTCAGGTTGATGTACAGTTGTATATTTTTCTGTATCCTGTTTTTTTACTGATACATTGTCTGAAGTCTGTATTTCTGTTCTGTTTTGTTTTGGGGAAGTTGGGGCAGTTCAGAGGACGTCTGGATGAAAATGCTGAGTAAAGAGATAAAGTACGAGCACAGCAAGAGCAGTTTAGACAGACACCCGTCACTGCGGCCCAAAATGAGAGCCATGCTGCTCGACTGGCTCATGGAGGTACTGTCACACGATCTGCTCTTCACACTAGATTCCCTTTATAATATTTCACTGTATAGACTTCCATGAAGTGAGCGTTAGTTATTGTTACGATTAGCGCTGGGCGATATAGCTAAAAAATGTATCAACAATATAATGTTTCATATCGTTCGGTATCGATAATTATTGACATTTTTTATAACCTTTTTTAAAACAAAGAGCAATAGAATTTTTTTTTTAATTTAACCACTGTATTTTTAAATTAACCCAATTTATTGAGACAAACAACAAATATTTTTTCTTTTAACAATCAAACACAATAAAAATTAAACCAATTTCTCCAGCACTCAGTTAAGCATGTGTTCGTGTTTGTGTGTGCGGTCTGCGTCACTCATAGCACGTGCCTATATCGTGCACTATATCGAACATTTTTTATATCGTTATCGAAGAAGATGTACCGTCGATAAATATCGATACCGTTTTATCGCCAAGGCCTAGTTACGATCCCCCTTTTTGGTCTAGGGGCGGAAAAGGATGGTAACAAACGTTGCGAGGAGAGAGTGAGAGAACTCCCGTCTCCAGGTCCCAGGACAGGCACAAATTAAAACACCACCAGGTTTCGAAGTAAAAAGATACAGCAGGTTTTATTTGAGATAATCAGTGGGATACAAACATAAGACTTCAAGGAGGGGAAACGGCCAAAATAACAAACAAAAGATACACTTACTGAGGGTTTGTGGACATAACTTACCTAGCCTCAAAAGAAAGAGAAACCAAAGACAAATCCTTTCCTTACTCCCTCTCTATTTAAAAACCAGGAGAATACATGAATTATCAAATTAAATGGCATCCTCCTCCCTACAAATGATCCCACAACAAAGATATAACCAAGTTTAACAATAGATAAACTTAAAAGAAAATCTGGCCACACAGGCCAGGACTACACAGATACATACAACCAAGGTGTTCACTTTAACACTTCAACAAGTTCAAGGTAACGATAAACACAGAGTTACCATACCTAAATAAGTTAGCACACAGCATAACTTTCACTTAACCACTAGAGGTTACAACAACATGCACAACAAAAGAATCAAGTGCTAGGACTAGGGCTGGGTATCGTTCAAAATTTTTCGATATCGATACCGATACCTTGACTTCGATACCAGTTCCTGAACGATACTTTTTTCTATACCAATTTTATGAAATCAATTTTAACAAGATTACATTATCTAAAAAAAAAAAAACTTGGTTTTATTTTTCAGCATCTCAAAGACTCATCTCCTGAGCCACTGCACAAAGGAACAAACTGTAACCAACACAATAAATCAGTGCAAATAGTTTAAATAAAGCTCCAATAGTCTTCAGTTTACACATCTGTTAGCAGTTAGCATTAGCAGGTCAGTGCCTAAAAAGTATCGAACTCGATACCCAGCCCTAGCTAGGACTGGAAGATGGCAGTCTCTCAGATGAAAGCCTCTCCCCTTTGGACCTCTCTCTGGGTTCTTAAATACTGCTTCACTTACACCTTAACGAGCTGGAACCCAAATCAGGTGGCACTCCCAAAACCTGTGAAGTGGATAGTGGGAGGAGCAACAGGAGACACAAAGAGAAAACACAGGGACACCAGCAGCAAATTAAATATATGTACCTATAGACTAGGGATGCACGATATTATCGGACCGATATCGGAATCGGCCAATAATGGCTTTAAATGTACATATCGGCATTGGCCCGATATCTTGCCAATAAGAGGAATACATTAACTCACATGTGCTCAGGGTGTGCTAGCGATCAGATCACATCAACAGTGCGATTAGATCATGTCAGCATTGTGGCTCATTCTTGAGGCAAAGTTTTGCCTGAATAGTGATTAGATTCACTGTTGTAGGATCGCTGCATTTAAACTGAGAATGCACGTACAGAATGATGCGTTCGGTGTATGATAGAGTAAACAGTAATAGCACGTGCAGCGGCAGCCTAATGTCCGTTCGGTAAGGAGTTTTAATTCCGTAGGGGGCGCTGTTGGCCTACTTTTAATAAAATGAAAGTAAAATACACAAATAACATTTAGACCAGGGGTGGCCAAACTCGGTCCTGGAGGGCCGGTGTCCTGCAGAGTTTTGCTCCAACCCCAATCAGACACACCTGAACCAACTAATCAAGCTCTTACTAGACATACTAGAAACTTCGTGGCAGGTGTGTTGAGGCAAGTTGGATCTAAAAGTTTGGGCACCCCTGATTTAGACTGTGTTTCTGATTAAATAAAGCAGTAATTGATGTCATAAAATCATGAGTATGTTTTGATTTAAAGGTCAGAAGCTATAGCTTACATAAATTTTTTTTTTTTTATCACAAACATGACACTTGTAAATTAAATAATTTTATATATACTGATTTATTCATTAATGTGTAATATGTTATATTTTTTAAACAAATTATGAGCTCTAAAAGATTTTCAGATTTTTTACAACTCTTTTGCTTTAGACCATCTACAGATGTTAAATCTTAAAATAAAATGTTCAGGTTACTACTGCATCTTTCTGGGGAAAAAATGCAGCGATTGATATATATAGTTTATGTAAAGCTATTTTCAAAGCTTCAATATACTGTCATTAAAAAAGAACTTCATTATTGTTTATTTAATTCTAACAAATAAGTTCTTGTTAAAAACTAATCAAAATTAAAAATAGTTTGCTTATTATTTCCACACAGGAGAGACTTGGTGTTGTTTCCAAACAAAAGGAAATATATCGGCATCGGCTATCGGCCAAAAAGAGCTGAAAAATATCGGCATATCGGCATATATCCAATATCGTGCATCCCTACTATGGACGTAACATTATATATAGACAGTGAGAATGTGAAATATATATATATCATATATAGTGTATGTATGTATGTCTGTATGTCTGTCTGTCTGTCAAATATTTATCTGACTGCAACATAATCTGACTCCATTAAAGCTGTTATTTATTTGACCCCTGTTTGCATGTCAAAGAGAACTGATTGGAAAATGTTAGATTCAATGTAGGATCTCCCAGATCAAGTTAATTTCACTTCTTAATACCCTGAGCAATGCATCGTTAAACATGAGTGGATTACAAACACCCAAAACCAACTGAAGGAAAAGACCATAAACCTGGAGTTAAATGGGTGGAGATCTAGATACTAGAAGGTAGAAGCGTGTTAACATATTCTCCTCAATATACGTTTAAGCAGTAGTTCCTAGATTGTACATTAGGATATTAATATAGTGCACCACATTTCTATTCAGTTCATAAACCGGCAGATGAGACCAAACATGAAGTAGTTAACACCAAACATGTTAGAACCAAGCATGCCACACAAGTGAAACACTGAAAAGTGAAGCCAGAGCGTCTCGATAGCCCCCAGGTCACTGGCTGCAGTATAGGTCATAAACCCCGCCCTCTCCATGTAATGTAATGGGACCTGAGACAAACTAAACAATCAAATTACACTTCAAATATTTTTTTCCAAAGACATTTTCTGTCATTTTAAGTAGTTCTTAGCATGCTTATGTAGTAGAGCTGTGCAATTAATCGAAATACAATTTCGATTTCGGTCTCCAACGATTATGAAAATACAATAATCGAGATAAAACGATTATTGCGCCCCCTTTCCAGCGGTGTGCTTTTGCTCCTCCATAAAAGCCCAATTTCACGTGCAAATCAGTAAAATCATGTAACGTGACTTGCAAAATGGGACGTGATTGATTTATTCATGTTTTAAAAGCGCGAAAGAGCACTTGCGCTGTTCCTCAGAAGGTTTTCTGTGCATGCGCTCAGAGACGGAACAGAACAAAGTCAACTTTTAGCTTAAGGTGCGTGCATAAACGGTCAAATACATGCTAAAATGTGTCAAAATGCAGCACTTGGTGATTATTCACATAAACTCTCGTCAGTTATGTAATAAGTGAACATAAACAGTTGAGAATGAAAATACGCGTGTAACCGTAAACTGGATCTGTGCGTCTCTTAAAGTGACAGCAGCCTAATATTCCTGCTGCTGACTGTGGGCTTCATATTAATCAAACAACAAAAGACAAAGAGAAAATCACTCACTGCTCTTGACTGAAGGACTTTTGTAGCTTTAATAAGAAACAAAGGAAGTGTAATTCTTAAGAGTTAAGACTATTCTATTTTATTTTACATTCAATTATTCAGTTTCTGTAATAGGCTGTTGAATACTTTAGACTTGCATGAAAATTTTAAAGCACTGTTTGTTCCATTTGTATCTTTTTTTCTATTGTATTTATCCTTTGCTTTTTTTTTTTTATTACTGACTTTAATTATTTTCAATAATTTGAGGACTTTTTTTTTTTTTACTAATATTAGTTACCTTAGTATTCTGCTGTGGTATTGAGAATTGTGAAATTTCTCAATCTCTAAATGTCTCCAAAATGTAGATGTCAGCAACCTTATTTACAGAAAATATATGTTTGGTATATATCGCTATCGTTAAATAAATCACTCATATAAAGTTTTGGTCAATGTGGCCCACTTATAATCATGTTAAATAATCGTGATTACATTATTGACCAAAATAATCGTTATTATGATTTCTGCCATAATCGAGCAGTCCTATGATGTATGTTCAAGTGTTCTTTTTCTTAATAAGTTTGCTTTTAATTAGTTATTTGATGCTGTAAAAACGGGGTGTGGTGTCTAGGGCTGTCGCGATAACCGCAATACCGCGCTATTGACGAGCAAACCACAGAGGAATGCAAGAACCGCAGCAACCGCGATTTTTGCATGTTTTCTTTTTTCATAGGTTTATGCCCTTCTTGTTTTACACAGTGCATGTGTACTGAATATTAAATAAGTTAGTAATGATAACATAATGTGCATCATGCTCCGTAGATTTGCACTTAACAAGCCTAAACAGACAGCGAATGAGAGAGAGATCAACTGAGCATGTGCGATTACTTGCGAGTCATATATATTGTGAAAATAGGTAGTCATGTCCAAGGAAAGCCAAATCTCTGTCTTAGCATCGACGCATTGCTGGTCAGCTGAGCCTTCTAAAGTGGTCTTGTTTTACACTTCGTGCATTTGTACTGAATATTAAGTTTGTAATAACACAATGTGTACCATGCTGATTTGTACTGAGGCTCCATAGATTTGCACTTAACAAGCCTAAACAGACAACGAATGAGAGAGAGATCAACT